AGAGGTTATGTTCCCTTCCTGGAATATATCCTGAATACTAAACAGCATCACATCAGCTGTTAAAAAATTTGCATTCAAACTTGCAACAGCAGAACAGACTGACTGTATGCTCACAATATATAACAATGAACCTGAAGTCAAACAAGCTTGTAACTCTGTTAAGAGTTACCCGTCAGACTGTCTTGTGAAACACACAGACTGCACCATCATGGAAGGTAATAAAAGACGAAGGTCAAACCAGGTCACTTTAAAACTGACTACACAATACAACCTGTGTCTGTCGGCCTCATACAGCTGACTGCAAACAGAGGCACACAAGGAGCCGCACAACTGTCAATGACAGTGCATTCAGGTTATCCTGAGGCGCTGTTCTAAACAACTTCAACTGCTTTTTAACTTGGATTTCTAAACATCTGTCTATTGTTATGTAGGTATACATGATTACAATGTCCAGCGTCACAGCCTATCACGTTTTCCTTTCTACTTACAGTGTTTTAAGAAAGTATTCAGACCCCTTCACTTTTTCTTATGTTGCAGCCTTATGCTGAAATTGCACTTACAATCATTGTGGCTTAGGTTGAACCTTCAGCCCAGTTTGGGGTCCTGAGTGCTCTGGACCTGATTTGTACTAAGGATATCTCTGTACTACACTCTGTTGAGCTTTCCTTCAACCCTCAGTCTCCCCGCCCCTACCGCTGAAAAACACCCCCAAAGCAAAGCATGATGCTGCCACCTCTATGCTTCACAGTTGGGATGGTATTTGGCCAGGTGATGAGCGGTGTCTGGTTTCCCCCAGACATGAAGCATGAGACTAAGAAATGAAGCCAAACAGTTCAATCTTGGTTTCGTCAGAGAATCTTTTTCCTCAGTCCTTTAGGTGCAAACTCCCAAGTAGCTTTCATGTGTCTTTTAGTGAGGAGAGGCTTCTGTCTGGCAACTCTGCCATAAAGCCCAGATCGGTGGAGTGCTGCAGTGATGATTTGTCCCTCTGGAAGTTTCTTCCATTTCCACACAGGATCTCTGGAGCTCAGCCAGAGTGACCATCAGCTCCGGGAAAAGTCCTGGTTGTTCCAAACTTCTTCCATTCAAGAATTATGGAGGCCACTGTGCTGTTGGGACCCTCCAATGCAGCCGAAATTTGTTTGTAGCCTGTAGACTCTAATCAAGGTGTAGAAACAGTGTCATAGCAAAGGGTCTGAATATTTAGGGAAAACATTAATTTAAATGATTTTAGCATGAGGCTGCACCATAACAAAATGTGAAAAAACTGAAGGGATCTGAACACTTTGTGAATGCATTGTATACCTCAGGTAGTGATTTCCTACATGCCTCTTTGTAAAATGCTATTAAGGACCATGAATTGGCTGCTATGGTGTGCTAACCAAGTAAATTGTCAACACTGAGAAGTGCTTACAATCCTGGCTGCTACGCATAAATTCAAAGCTCAACACTGCAGAAGAAACTTATGGAGAAATGTTTATGTTTGCTTCTTCTGTGATGGATTGTTCCTGGTACAATTTGAGAAACATTATTGTAAACTGGCAGCTCTAAAAAGAAGCCTGTCACCAAGACCTGATGTTTACGATTTCAGTTTTAGATCAATGGAACATTTTCACTGACTCCAATGAAGCTGTAATGGAAACATCATTACAAGAAACACTGGGAACAGCATGACCTGGTTTTGGAGATCATTTTCCACTTTAAATATGTAAAAACTGTTCATATAATGTCCTCTTATGAAAATCCAATCAAAACTCAGCAGCATCACTGACAAATGTGTCAATCAAGGGGACAGAGAAAGGAAAAAGAAACACTAACAAAAGGAAATCAGTTCCTGTGACCTTTCCTAGAATCTTGGTCTGATGCGTCATTGAATAATGCATGTTCCTCAGTCTATCTCGTCCAGTATGCCCGTGGCAGAGCAGGAGAAAGTGAGGAGCTCCTGGGTAAACTTTCACTTTGGCTACTGCTTTAGTCTCTGTCAATAATTCATTGCAACTGCTGACTTTGCAGCCTCATGAGCAGGCTGACCGTGTTTTGTAGATGAGGGTATTCGCTGAATATTAAACTCTAAAATGTCCTGCCTTGACTTGAATATTCTAACCAGCAATAGAACATCACCCACGGGCCAGTAAATTGCTCCATGTCTTTGGCTGTAGAGCTCTGTATACGTTTTATAGGGTTAGCTTTGAATGATATTACCGAAACCTCTCTTAAGATCAGCAAAATCTCTAACACTTGTCCACGCCACATCAACAACAGGCTGAAGTTGTATTGTCTGCATTGTTAACTCCTTGGCGCTGTTAACTCATAGGCATACATTGTTTACACCATGACTAAGGGTACAAAACAATGGTGCCTGTTTCCAAAACATAACTTCATAGTGACCAACTTCATATGTTTGTAAGACAAAAGATCAAACAGGTTCTTCTGTAATGATGCTGTATGGAAACAACACGTGTTCATTCGATATCAATCCACCAGTAGAGGAGAGAATATCTGAAATGTGAATTATCTAATGCTGAAATCATCCACGTAATTTAAGGGGTGTTTTTGACAATTCACCACAACAGTCTATTAATAGTAGTAATTTTTCATGTAACAGCAAAGAAAGCTGAACACAAAAGCAGCAGCCAGTCCTCCCTGTTCACTCCCCAGATGACTGAACAGTTGACACTGCCTGTAGTGAACAACAATGACAGACAAGGACACAAACACACACAATCAAACTTGCCAAGTTGTGGATGAGTAATAACTGTAACAAAACAAATCATTGTCTATTTCCCTCGACACTTATCTGCTTCTCCCACATAACTGCAATTATCCAAGGAGAAAAAACCATGCAGTCAAAACAGCTGCTGTGAGGGGAAACACTGAAAAACAGCCTCATAATCTCAATAATATAGTTTGACAGCTACTGGATATTCAACTATTGAGCTTACATTGGCAAACTATGTCTTTACAGCTGGTTCCCTCGGCTCATCTGAAGAATCAGTACTTCTATATTTCATTTTTAGATTAAATTAATGCTGTTTAATATAGAATGCACTATGTCGTATTGAAGGGCGGCTCCTGATGTTTCCCAAAAGCTTCATATTTTGGGTTGTACAGAGCATGTAAGCAGCACCAAGCTAACAGATATTCAGTGGAGTTTGACGTACTGTCCTCTCCACGTAGCTCAGTAAAAACAACTCTAACCAGTTTAATTCCAGCTGTCAACATGTCCTTATTATTATTGACAAAGACCCCCCTATTTGTAATTATCACCCCTCTACATTCCCTTCCTGGCAAAATAAGATAACAAACGTTGGCAAAGATTACATAATTTAATCCAACTAGCAATGGATAACGAGCTAACGCTAGCTATGTTAGCCGAACAGCAAAGGAACAGTTTGTCCTCATTAGCTGACGAACAGCACTACCGTGAAACAGTATTAGTATTTACAGTAGTGGAGTGGTGGCACGACTTGCTGAGTACGTGTTGAATGTCAGTTCTGACAGCCTGCTGCTGCCATCCCAGCCCGGCTAACCGCTAGCATACTAGCTCATGTCATCATCATGGCTGGCTGGAAATCCCAAAGTCCAACGGCTGTGAAAAAAAAAACAAATACCACCGGTGATAGCTCTAGTAACTGACTTATATCACTTACCCGGATCCCAAAGGAGGTTGTGAAAACCAAGCTGGTAAAGCTGCTGTGAACTCCCAGCCCTCGGTGTGAAGGATGTTTGGGTTTCAGTCGGGGTTTCACTTCAAGGAAGAAGAAACTTCCACCATCTTCGTAAGCTCACGTCATGTGACCGAAACAAGGTGGGGCGCACGCTACTCCCACCTCGTGCTGTGATTGGACCAGAGTTGGAGCGAGATGGACCAATGAACGGTTAGTAAACATGCTGACGCATTTAAGGTGCCTGCAACTTCATACTGTCAATAATCAAAACAGAAATTTTCATCAATGAAATCTCTTGCAACAAAATGATTTTTGCAGTATTTTTTTCTTTGACAAATTAAAACATACATAATAGGAAGCTAATAAAATCAACTAGATCTTTTCATTTTTTATTTTTTTAAATGTAAAAAAAAAAATTAATTTGTTAAGAAACATATTTTTTATGTGCACTGCAATGCTGCGATTCATTGTATTAACACTGTACATGGCAGTATTACAGAGCAGCATGTCTGTGTTTCTTTTAGTGTTCTGGCTGTTCCTAAATAAAAAGTTTCACGAAAGGCCGCGTTGATATTAATATCTAATATTTGCTATTCAAGAATATATGCTCTTCATGATTCATGTAAAACCTTTATTACATAACGGTAATGACATTCCTGCTACTTTCCTCTGTTTTTATTCACTGTACTTGCGGATGACAACTCAACTGCAAACAGCAGATGTCATTGTTGGACTTTGCAGGTGGCTGCTGCAGACCATGATGTAAATCAGTCACCATTTTCTCTTCACAGAGGGTATTTACAACTCACTAAATTATATGTTATATGCTATAATTTATGAATATTACAACAGAAATAAATGTAAAAAAACAAACAAAAAAAAACAAAATTGAGCCTTCATACTTTTCGGCTAATGTGTGACACATTCAGGGTCTTTCAAAAATGCATTGACAAGGAAATTGAATCCGACAATTGGTGTAGATAGATTGTGGAAAATTTGAAAAGTTTTGTTTGTCACTACTGCGAAAACTCAAAATAGTGTGCTCAGGACCATGTAGTGTAGCTACTGCATTTTAATAATGCATTACCAAAAACTGTCACAAAGAAAAAATAATGTCAATTTTTTTTATTTTTTTTTATTCCCTGTACAAATTCTTCTAATTTCAAAAATGACATTAATCCTGGAATAAATCTGTGAAATAACGCTTTTGGTTCTTTAGTAAAAAAAAAAAAAAAAAAAAGTCAGAGCAGTTTCCCGGTGCTTTATTTTGGAAGTTGTAACAGGAAATCATGCATTTCAAACTGTTCCCAGCTTGTCTTGCTGTAGCTGAGTGGTCCGGGTTGGTCAGTGTTGTCAGAGGGGCAGCATGAGATATTTCTCTGCACGGATCATGCAAACATGGGGATATTTGGAGGAAAAATCGATTTGACAACTCACTCAGGGAAAAGGTAAGATACAAGTCTCTGCTTTTACTAAGTTTGGCTTCCAGACATTGGGAACAGTCCAGACTATGACTTATTGTAGTGGTTTTATGAGGCTTCACTTGAATGCGGTCGTATGACATGTATCCCCATCCATACAACTCGGGATGTAATGCTGTTTTGCCCTTATGAAAAAGAAAAAATACAGCAATGCAACACACAAGAAAAGTTAAGTAACCATGGTAATATTGTGGTAAATGTAAGTCCAATATAAATAAACCACTTTAAGGTGTCTGTAAATTCAATGTTAATCACTATAGATACACTGTAAGTTTCCAACTGAAATGTTTTAGGGCTGTGTTTATATCATAAAGCACAATAAGGTCACTGTAGAGTAACTAGTGACAGCTTCAGACACACTCAAAGTGTTTATAGCACAATAATAAAGGAATGTCACCATGCCTTTTCCTGTATGGGGCAAAGTATATCATTGAGGATGAATACAGGTTGAAGGAAGGTCACACCATGAGCTGGCAGGTTGCCTGCTTCTACAGTTGCAATTCTAAATAGCAAATGAATAGAAATAGAAACAGAAGTAGAACAGAGCAGAATAAAATAGAATAGACGTTTTGGAGTGTAAGAGTGTCGCTGTTATTATCTCTACTAATATGCAGCAGATGGCTGATGAGTCCTTGGTCAACATAAGGTAGCCTGCAGTGAGTCAACACAGTGTTAAAAGTGACTGGTATGTGACAGTAAAGATGGACGATATTGCAGTGATTTAGTCATTTGCTGGAAGCTGACAGTGTCTCCTGTCATCAGCAGAGCTCTGAGACTCCGTCAAGTTGTGATCGGCTTCTAACACGACAGCTTCTTTAGAGTAAACTGAGCTGTTGTGTAAACTGAGGGGCAGCGGTTCTGCACATGCCGGGAAATGAAACGTAAATATTAATAACAGAGTTTCAGCTTTCATTGAAACCATTCAAAAAGAAGCTAAAACATATCTCTCTTATGGAGCTGTGCAGTTTGAAAACCTCATAAAAATAGTGCACATTACAATACAATGACTGTTAATCTTTTCCATTTGACATTCAGTCCACTTCCAAAACATCAATATATAGGAAAACAATGTAGGTTACATGGAGGTATATAGGTGCACAAATCTACCTCTGACCCACTCCCAGCAGGCTGGATGCACTGACAAGTGCTCTCTTTGTTATTTTCTCTGGGAATTTGCATTTCTCTCGGGTGATTTTCATTCACTTTTACATGCACATCAGCAACCCCCAGTGAACTACCACACACTTGCAGGAGTTGCTCTCTTCATAGGCGCATTTTCTTGTCCTTGCTCTGCATGATCCACACAGAAAACAAGACCTTTTTCGTTTTATACGTGTGTTTATTCTTATTCCTTAGTTGCCTCTCTGTATAATAGAGTGACACTCACTGATCCTCAGCCTTGGACTTGAACTTGCCTCTGCAAAATTTGCCAGGCAGCTTTTATTTCACCAGCAACGGCTATTTCCATGTTTGCTTTGTGTGTCTCTGTCTATAATTAGCTCCATTTGAGTGGAGTGTCTTCAGGAATACCCTTTACCCCCCCTCCGCTCAGTGTTGCCAAGTTGTAATCCTCACACCCAAGACATCGATCCTGGACCAGCTCCTTACTTGACTTTTGAATACCTCAGAATGATTCCTGGACTCTACAGTCTTGACTATGCGTCTGCCCGTGGGAAACCTTCACCCCCGCCCCTCACCACTCCCATCCCCTCAGCAGTGTGCCAGTGCATCTTTGACTGGAACAGCCTGCTCTTGTCGGGCAGCGATCAGTGTATTAATAGGTGTTTTGGCTGCTACTTTGGTCCTAACCCCCAACTCGCTCTCCAGTCCTCCCCCCTTTCATAACACAAACAAGCCAACAAGCCCCCCCACCCCACCCCTTCTTCTTGTGCTTATTTTAGGCTCAGTGGTAGATAACTGACACGTCAGGGTTGCATACTGTATGTAAATAATAGCTGCAGGGGTTGTAGCTGGAGTGGCAAAGATTTTGAATGATAAGAAATTATAGGACTCGAACAGAACTCTGGAGTTTGTTTACTCTCTGGGGGAAACTTTCAGTGAGATGAAATGAAATGAGATGAAAAAAAAAGAATCAGAGAGGATGCTTTGGTGGTGAACGTGATGTCAGGCTGACCATATCTGAGAACTGTGTGTGCTGGCTCCCACACTGACTGATAGATGGGGGGGGGGCTTGTGAAGCTGACATGGTTATTGCTGTATTGGTGATGATGTTCTTCTTCCTCACCACAATCTACAGGTTTCAGTAGGTGCCTGGTGGGAAAGATTGTGCTCCTTTGGATGGAGCAGTTAAGGAGAAGGAGGTGGTGGGGAGGGGGGGGTGATTATGTCAGACCTATGCCTCTCTTCTCTGGTCTGTATTCCCTGTGCAGCTTTTACGACCTGGGGGACGAAAAAATACAAATGAAAAATAAAAACACACCACATGGCATGGCTCCAAGCTGCAGCTGCTATTTTTGGTTTCCAGCTATGGGAAAATAACCAAGTCCATAATCACTCATACATGGACAGCTCAGACGCTGTAAATCCCAGTGCTGCTGGTGTGCTGCTGACCCTCGTAAGTGATTTACAGGGTCAGACGGTGTTAAGAGCCCACTTTCCACAGAACTTAAACGCTGGACGTTTAACAGCGGGGAAGGTGGGTGTGCCCTCATTCAGAGCGGACAGCGGGTGCAGAGCCAGTCTCGTGTACGTCTCCTTAAACTTTAACTGCATCCGAAACATTTGTGCTTTGAAGACGCGGTGCATCCCTTCTCATTCAGTCACCTCCTGCCCGCAGGTTCAAGTATCCTGCCTGACCTGGAGTTGAACTTCTTTGTGGTCGTCGTATAGAAGTTTTCTCACTGTGCTGCACGCCTGTTTGTTGCATTTCAAAGTAGCTGCCCGTAAAGGTGCATCATGTAATATTTTCAGTATTAACGTGGAATCGTTTGTGTGTTCAGGTTTGACTGGATCATGACTCAGATTTTTTGTCTGATGTGAGTTTCAGAACAAAATGTGAGTTTTGGATGTTGACATTTGATGGCTCGTTAAATGACCTTATTCATCTGATTCGGTTTGGAGATCAGTTTTTAGTGTTTTTGATACGATAAATGTAACCAGTAATATAAGAGCCCCTTTGATTTTGTCAAAGTAGCTCTCAGAGTAAAAAAAAAAGGTTGGAGACCCCTGAGATTTGGCGTCTCGGGAAACTATTTTTTCACGCACGCTTCCCAGCAAACACAGAGAGGGGACAGACCTGTTGATGTCATGTTCAGTGTCTAGGCTGAATCTCAATATGACACAGGCATATAAACGAAACCAAAATATAAATATATTTTTTTTTTAACCATTTTTACAGTTGCATGTGGAGACAGTGGCGTGACGTTTTCATTTAGTGACATACTATATGTGAGCATATGCCACTGACTGTATGAGTGATGTGTGTTGACTGTTGCCTCCGTAGACCTTTCTCCCAGCAGAGTCGCCAAACACAGGTGTAACCGATAATCCCAACGATGGCTGAATTCCGCTTCCGTTTACTTAGAAAAACCTTACACATTAAAAACGTGAACATTAACACTGAAAACTTTTGTAAATATGAAAATTATGATGGTGATTATGATTTGCTCTGTTTAGAAAAATCCTTGTGGTAGTTATTCAGAAAAGCTACAAACTTTTTTTTATTAAATTTAGATTTTTAAAATCCTGTAGTAATGAACTTTCAGTGTTTTCATATTAAAAACCTACAAGGATGTTAGCTGTGTCCCCCTCACTATGAAAGTCCCTTCCATGTCCCTTTGTGTGTGTGTAACAATGGCTTATTTTTAACCTGTTGGGCTGTTTAAAAGTGGAGGGGGGGGGGGGGGGGTGAAGGGAGGAAGTGTTCGCAGGATGACAGAGGAAGATAATAGCATCCTCTCCTCAACCTTCGTCCTTCCTCTGCCTTCCCTCACATACAGACAGACAGACAGACAGACAGACAGACAGACGGACACACACAACGCCGTTGGGGTTTGAGTTGCTTCTCTGTGAGTCTCTGCATCTCCTGCTAGGAATACAAATAAATAGGAATAATGTGTGAGCAGATGCATACACACACACACCAACAGACACACACACACACACTTCCTTGCTCCCCGGATTCAATAGCTCTGACAGTCTGACCTATAAGACAGACGACCAGAGCAGCTAATTAGAGGGAACTGAATTCAGTGTCAGTGCTGAATCTCAGAGAAACTCTGGCTGAACTAAATGAGACTAAGGCAGATGAGAAACACAAGACAAGAAAGATGCAGCCGAATGAACCAACATCACTTTATTTATCTGCTTTCTCATCTGAAGTGTGTATACTAAAGATTGTTGAAGGTTAAACCAGTGGTTCCCAACCTTGTGACACTAAATCAGTGTCCAGTTTGTTGCTTCTTCTTCTTCTTCTTCTTCTTCTTCTTCTTCTTCTTCTTCTTCTTCATCATTAATCATCTCACATTGGCCATTGCGGCTATTTTTTTACTTGTAATGCAGCATTTTTACATTTTTGTATTGGTACTTTCATTTAATTAAAGTATCTGAATAGGACTGTAATCCAAAACTGACAGTATACAGTGTCGCTTGCAGAGCTTAATAGCTTAGATTAGTTATAAATATAGAAAATTCATCAGCAATAATTTTAATAATCATCAACAAAAATGCAAAGCAGTCCTGGTCCTAGCTTCCCTAATGTGAATAGTCTGTGTTATTAAAAGTCGTCTTTGATAGTAAACTTGATATCTACGGGTTTTGAAGTGAACAGACTAAACAAGCAAAATGTATCAGCAGATGAAATAATGAAAATAATCGCAGCAGTTTGTGTGGTTCTGCAGAGGGTTGAAATTTAATTTATTTTTCCTCACAGTTATGATATGAAACTAAGCACATGGAGTTGATAATTTACTGGTCTGCTCACCGCATCACCCTGAGCAGGGCTGTGT